ACCCACTTTCATTATTTTTTTTTTTAACTTACCTTAATGAAGGAGATCTGTATCCTTACTTTAAATTCTAAATAGACGGAATTTAATTTATTTATAATAATTTATATGTAGTATATACATATATATTGTATTATTACATATGTTATTATATTATAGTCTTTTCTATTTTATAATATTTTTAATAAATAAATATGAAAGAGTTTTTACAAATATTAAGCTTATTAGGTATATCAGTTGATTTGAATGGAGATTCTTTACGTAGTAGTATTATTTTATTTGCTAGTTCTATTTTAGTTTTAGCTTTGGTAGGTTTATTATGTTTTATAAATCTTGTTATCTATTATGGTGTTTTATATATTTTAAATAATAAACAATTTTTAGATAAAATTTCTAATTATAGTTTTTTAGTAAAAGTTGTAGAATTTTATAAAAAGACTACAAGTTTTTTTATAACTCTAGAAATTAACTTTTTATTAATGAGTTTATGTTCTATAATAGGGTTGTGTTTAAAACTTATTTATGGTTTAAGTTAATTATATTATATTTAAAATATAAAATTAAAGAATTTAAGAGATTTTCTTTAATTATTATTAAAATAATCTCTTCTTAAATAAAAACAAAATAAAAAATAAAATGAAAAATATGGATACAAAATTCTATTTAATTGGTTGTTTTGTACGAAGTTTAGATCGTTATCATGAAAGAGATAATATTATTCATATAATAGGTAGTATTTTCTATAGTGAAGAAGATTATAGTTTAAAATTAGTAGAATTAGTTACAAGAAAAAAATTTTATATAATACGTATAATGGTTGATAGTACAGTAGATTTTAATATAATACATCATAGAGATAATATAGTTGAATTTCAAATTAATTACTTAAAATTTTTTAATTTGTATAAAAATGAAAGTCTTGAATATAAAAATCTTGAAAGTTTCATTGAAAAAATAATAGGTTCAAATGTTTTTTTACAATCTAATCATAAAAAAATTAGTGTACTTAATGATGTTTTATTTATTTTTGAAAATTTAAATTGGTTTAAATTACAATTGTTATTTAGATTAACTAATGTTGTTATTAGTGGGGGTAGTATTAGTAAAAGACATATTTTGTCTACTGTAAATTATAGTTTAAGTTTCTTTTTATATGTTATGGGTTATGAAGTACGTGATATTTATGATAGTTATAAATATTTAAGTCAAGAAGTTAAAAATAATAATACAGATATTAGATTAATAGAATCTGATAAAGATTTAATGTTAGATGTAATGTATTATATTTTAGATGAAAATAAATATAGATTAAATAAATCTATATTAGATTTAGAAAATGATATTTCACGTCTTGAAAATGATATATCTAGTTTAAATAGTGAAATTTCAATAAAACAAAGTAAACTAAGTGAAGCTAGACAATTAAATTCAAAAAGAATTTTAAAATGGACTAAAAATATTGAATTAAAAAAAGATGATATTAAATCATCTAATGATAAAATATCATTAATAAAAAATGAGATAACTAAATTTAATAAAGAACAAGAAAGTCTTAAAGAATTATCAATTGAAGATTTAAAAAATAAATATTATAAAGATTATCATAATATAAAATTACGCAAAGATTTAGATAAATTTAGTTATATAATAAGAAAAATGTCTGAAAAACCATTAGGTATTAGAAGATATAGTACTGTATCTAATTTAAGGATAAATAATTTAATATTAAGTAATAAATTAACTTTGAATAAGAATTATACTTCTAATAATAGAAGTATGTCAATATATTTAAGTGATTCAGTTGTATCACAAAATATACTAAAAATATTATATTCTTCTAATGATAAAGAAAATATACAAAAAGAAATAGAAAAATATTTATATATTAAGCAATATAATGTTTTGTTAGATAAAGATAGTAGTAGTATTTTACAGTTTAATTTGTTAGATAGAAAAATTATAGAAGTTTTAATAGATTCTAGAGAAGATTTAGAAAAACTATTTAACAATTTTACCTATATTAGAACAGATAACAAATCCGATAATTTGTATATTCAGATATTATCAGTTGTAGGGTTTGAATACGTAAGTAATATTTTATATGGAAGGTTCTTAGGAATATTAAGTAATATTAATAGAGCAAATAAATTTACATTTTTAACAGAAGTAAGTTATGATTTAGGTAAAGATTTAATAAATTATTTTAATTATATTAAGTATAATCAGGGAAAAAATGATTATACTAGTTTTAGTAAGTTTAAAGAAGAAAATATTAAACAGATAATAAATTCTGATGATCCTACTAGTGTAGTAAAATTAGGTGCTATTTTAATAGGTTGATTATTGGAATTAAAAATTTTAACAACTAAAGTTGAATTTATAGCTAAAAATGAGAAAAGAAATATTTTAACATTAAATAATAAATTAAATAATTTAATAATAAGAAAAAATATAAATATGTTTAGATTTAATACTTCAGTTAAATTACCTATGATTGTTCCACCTAAAAAATATTTAAATATAGATGGGTCAGTCAAATTAGGTGGTTATATGTTAAATGATGAGTTATATACTGAATCACTATTTATAGATAATCCTGGTTTAGTAGAAAAATCTGAAATATCAGAACAAAACATAATTTATCAAATGGTTGATAATATTAATTCGGTTCCATTTAAAATAAATCAGAATGTTTTAGATTTTATTTTAAAATATTATAAAGAATATAATTTAATTATAGATCCGGAATTTACACATCCTTTGGAATTTAAGTCTAAATTAAGTTTACATGAAAAAAAGGAATTAGAAAGTTTTAGAAGTAAAAGAAATTTAGAGGCAGAAATATTAAATATAGCTCAATTATTTGAAAACATTTCAGAATTATATTTTCCAGTAAGATTAGATTATAGAGGTAGATTATATTGTGTTGTAGAATATTTAAATTATCAAGGTATTGAATTAGCTAAAGCTTTATTATTGTTTTCTAAAGGAGAAAAAATATATTTAAATGATGATTTTGCTATAAAATACTTAAAAATATTTGGTGCTAATTGTTATGGTAATAAGTTGGAAAAAAAATCCTTTATAGAAAGAATTAATTGGATAGATAAAAATAATAAAGATATTATTAATTTTAATAATGGTGTATTAATATCTAAAGCTGAAAATAAATTATTATTTATTGCTTTTTGTTTTGAATTTAATAAGTATTTAAATGCTTTAAATAAAAATGAAACTTATTTTATTTCAGAATTACCTATTCAATTAGATGCTACATGTAACGGGTTTCAACATTTAAGTTTATTAATACAAGATACTACTTTAGCTGAAAAGGTTAATTTAAAGAATTCTAGTTGGAAAGATGCTCCTGAAGATTTTTATAGTTTTATAGCTTTAAGAGTTAAAGAATATTTAGAATTAGAGTTAAAATCTAATAGAAATTTAAGTACACTTGAAAAAGAAAGTTTTACTAGATTGTGTAACATAGATTTTTCAAATCATAGAAATTTAGTTAAGAAAACTATAATGACAATTCCTTATAATGCTACAAAATATGCTAACATTCAAAATATGAAAGAAGATTTTACTAAGGATAACACAAAAGATGTTTACATATACCATAAAAATAATAATATTATTTTAAAAGACGAAGATTTTAAAAAGCTGTGTCTTACATTGTATATTTGTTTGTATAGAGATTTTCCTAAGTTAGAAGCATTATTATATTATTTTAAATTAATAGCACAAATTTCAAATAAATTAGGTTTAAGTATACCTTGAACATTACCTTCAGGGTTAACTGTCAAACAAAGATTTTATGGAAGTAAAAAAATAAAATTAAAACCATTTATATATACTAAAGATTTATTAAGTTTAAATATGTTCGATAAAAATAGTTTTAATACTCGAAAACAATATAGAGCTTTAATGCCTAATTTAGTACATTCTTTGGATGCTGCTAGTTTAGCTTTACTTATTGATAGATTTTTTAAAGAAGTTGAAAATAAAAACTTTTTTTCAGTTCATGATTGTTTTGCTGTAAGTTGCAATAATGTTAATTTAATAGTACAACTTTTAAAAAATATATATTATAATATATACTGTACAGATCAATTTATTGAAAATTTTGATAAAAATTTTAAACAATCAATTATAAATCAATTTGGTAAAAATTGTTTTATAGAAAATAATAAATATTTGCAAATTATAAATGAAGAAGGAGAAACTATTAAATTAGAATATCCAGATATAAATAAAGTTTTAAATCCTATAAATGTAGAAAATTTAATAGATTCTAGAGTTTTATTTGAAAACTTTAAAAGTTTAGATTATAGTTCGTATATGATTGGTAGTTAAACAAACAAAAAACAAAAATAAATAAAAAACAAAAAATAAAAACAAAATAAATAAAAAACAAAAAAAAAATAAAAACAAAATAAAAAACAAAATAAATAAAAATTTATAAAATAAAAAAGAAAAAAAAAAAAAATAAAATGTTAAATCATTTTTTTTTAGACATGTTATAGAAAAATTTTTAGATTATTCTAATAATATGTCTTTTTTTTTTCAAAAAAAAAAGTCCCTTAACATTTAGTATTATGATTTTACTTTAATACTAAATTAGAAAAGGGACTAAAAAACTTTTAAATTTAAAAAGTTTTTTTTTTCAAGTAAACTAATTATTATAAGGTATAATACCTTTTTCTATATTATTAAATACTAAAGGTTTAGTATCTATCCATAAACCATTTTCATTATAATATTTTTTTCTTTTTAAGTATGCATCATGTTGCAGTAATATTTTTTTATCTTCAATTACAACAGATCCTTTAGATAAATCAGTTATAGATGAAATTTTATTACCGTAAACATTTTTAGATAGAAAATACATAGATTTAAAATCATCTAAACTTAAAGAATCATTTTTAAGACCTTTACATTTTATTATTAATCTATCATCATTTAACACTAAACAATAAGTTTTATTTGAAATAAAATAACCTTCTTTAATTTTATATTCTAATTTAAATTGTCCTAAATCTCCTCCTACTAAATTAGGATTTAAAATTTCTATAGGAATATCTGTTACTAAACTATCAGTATCGGTGTAATAAACATTACCACCTACTTTCAAGATTTCTAAAATAATTTTAATCATAAATATTCTACCATAAGATGTAACTAAAGCAGATACAAGTACAGAAACATCATCAAATATATCTATATTTTTTTCTAAATTAGTAAAATTATTATCACTTAAAACCTTAAGATAGTCTAACCCATGATCTTCACAAATTTTAGGATCAATTAAAGGAACATAGTTAACTAAAAATGAATTCTTAGTTATTTCTTGGAAGGATTTTATTTTTCTAGTGCTTATTAATAAATCCAAATTTTGACTATTTACTATTTTTGTAATAGGTTTAATAATATTTAAACCAAATCTTCCTAATAAATTGTTTAATAAATTTTTATTTATTTTTTTCTTAAATCCTGAAGTTTTAGATTTTAAATTATAAAGATCTGTTATATAATCTGTAAAGAAACTAGGAACTTCTTCAAAATCATATCCTTCTGTGATTGTAACTTCATATCCTAATTCTTTAGCTAATTTTAATTCTGGACTTGGCCAAACACCTTCAAATTCTCCATCAGGGAAAATTAAACCTAATTTAGTTTTAATAGGAAGTAGCCCTATGTAATTATAATTAGTCTTAATTTTAGCTTTGAAAATACCAAATATATTATCTATGATTAATCCTTTGTAGCTAAAACTTTTAATATATTTAGCTTTCACTCCTCCCATATTATTTAAAGCTACTTTAGGATATAAAGAATTTACATCATAATAAAATAAATTTTTACCATAAGGTTTAAAAACCTCAGTTCTACCCCCATAGTAACCTAAATATAAAAAATTAAATAAATTTAAATTATTAATTAAAGGAATTTTAGAATCCTTTAAATAAAATTTTAAAAATTTATTTAAAGCTAATCTTGAAATAGTTAACCCATCTGTCATTTCTAAATTATGTTCAATAAATAAACTAGTTTTAAATTTATCTAAAACTTCTAACAATCCTAAAATATCTGATTTTAAATATTTTAAAGATTCATCTCTTAAAGACCAATTATTTTTAGAATAAAATTTATTATATTCAGATATACTCAGATTATTATAATATTTTATTTCAGGAGTTTCACCAATATAATTTAAATTATTTTCTTTAACAAAAGAATAAGGGAAAGAACCCTTTAAATTATCGACATTAAATTCTTTAGTTAGAGATTCTAAACTATCTGATAATATATTATAAGAATCTAATAAAGTAATTTTTATATATTTATTATTTATTTTTCGTTTTATAATCAATCTTAACATTTTTCCATCTTTATAAGTAGTATTTAATATATAATAGACCTTTTTATAATTTAAATTATATTCTTCTAAAGTTTTATGTATAAAAACTATATCAAATTTACCCATATTATGGATATACCAATAATAATTATGATATTTATTAACTAACATTGAATTAATACAATTTATTATTAATAAATCTGAATTTAAAGAAGGACCTAAATCACTCAAATAGAAAACTTGAACTTTATCTTTTTCTAATAAACTACAAAAACCTATGCAATAAACCTGTCCTAAACCTTGGGAATTTACAAAAGTTTCTACATCTAATACACCTAAATTTGGATTAGTAATAAAATTACTTTTAAATTTAGGTTGTTTAATATAATCTAAATTTAAAGAACGACTAACCTCAACTACTTTATTTTCTTCTATTTTAATAGTAAAATTTTTAATTTTTCTGATAAAAACATTTGAATTTATTTTATAATCTAAAACCTCATATAATAAAATACCTGTATTAAGATCAAATACAAATCTTAATTTAAAACTATCATTTAAACTATTTAAACTTATATCACTTAATAAATTTGATTTTTCGTTTAATTTATTTTTTGTTAAATATGTCATATATTCATATAAATTTATATTTATAATTACTATTTTAGTTTCTTTATTTTTAAACTTCATTGTTTTTATATAAATATTACAATTTTTAATTAAATCCAAATCCATTAAAATATTAGGATATTTCATACCTGTTTTTAAATTATTACTAATTAACAATTTAATATATTTATATTTTAAATCAGTTTCAATTAAGTTACCAAAATAACTATTATCATAAGTTAAAGGTAAATATCTATTACTAAATAATTCTTTATTTTTAACTTCACCTAAAATAGATTTATTTAATTCTTTTTTATTTAAACTAAAAAATTCTAATTTAGTTGAAATATCTAATTCTTTATATGAAATAACAATAGTATCAGGAATTGAATCAATATCATATTTAGCCAAAATATCATCCATTCTTAACATAATAATATTGTATATATCTTTATAAAATTCTAAATCATGAAAATTTTCTATCTTTATACCTATTTGATCACCTGACATTAAATTAATTGTATTACCTTTAAATCCAAATTTTACTAAAATAGAATAACTCCTATTAATATATAAATTTTCCATTATAGAGTTAATAAAACTTTCAATATTTAACTTAAAAAAAGGAAATAATATATGATTAAATACATTATTTTTATCTTTAATTAAAATATATGAACTAAAATTGTCATTTAATAAATTACTTGATTTATTTAAAAAAGAACTAATATTCATATTTCTAAATATAAAATATTTTATTTTTTTATTTGATATTAAGGACTCAAAAAGATATTTATTATATTTTTTAATATTATACAGTTTCATTTCTTATTTTTATTTTCATAATTAAAGAAGATTTTTTTTAGATTAAAACCTTTAAACTACTTAAAAAAAACTAACTTATATTAATAAATTGGATTTAATATAAGTTAGTAAAAAAACTAATTTAATAATTTTATTTGTTTATACTTTAATTTAAGCTATAACTTTATTGTAATTTATACAATAGAATTAAAATTTACTTTTTACCACCATTAGAACTATTTCCACTATTATTTGTACCATTATTACTTGAAGAACCACTATCTGTAGCTTTAGGCTTTGCACTATCACCTATATTTTTAACTATTTTATCAGCAGCATAAGCCCCAACACCAATACCAAAACCATTTGCAAGACCTTGCATAAGTTTTTCACCAACTTTCTTACCACTATAATGTATAAAAATAACCCCACTACTTACCAAAGAACTAAACACAACAAAAATACCTAAATCAATAATATTAGATATGTTATTTACAAAAAACCAAATAACATCCATATCAATATTTAATATATTATATAAAATCATATTTATTTATTAAAAATATTATAAAATAGAAAAGACTATAATATAATAACATATGTAATAATACAATATATATGTATATACTACATATAAATTATTATAAATAAATTAAATTCCGTCTATTTAGAATTTAAAGTAAGGATACAGATCTCCTTCATTAAGGTAAGTTAAAAAAAAAAATAATGAAAGTGGGA